GTTTTCTTCAGCAAGTTAACCTGCAGCCACTGAGAGACCGTACTGGACGGAAGCCAAGAGCCAGCAGCATTATTCAGTCGTCCTTTGTGAGCTGCCCAAGAAAAAGATTATACACTGGAAGCTGTTATTTGAGAATCAAGGATCCTACCATCTTCCATGCCAAGGGCATGACACTTGATGTTACCTGTCAATGATAATGTTGTTGATAATAAATTCTCTAGTATATATGCACTTGAAATTTGAGGCCGTGTTGACATCACGTCAAGGCGGGGCTGAGCATTACATTACCACACATTGACAAAGACCTTCGGATGAAGTCGAAAGAGATATACTTTGCTACTTTTGATTTAGAGTAAAATAAAATATTTCCTAATATAAGGTATATTTCGTTTGTGTGCTTTACTGTGTTTATATGTTTTTGCGTTCGCTTTATTTCTTGTCGGTTATTTCAGTTATTCATTCTTAGCTTCAATTCTTTTCCCTTAAAAATGCATGAATACTATAAATCTAACATATATCAGCAACATCGAAATGAAATAGTGAACGTTCAGTTAATAAAAATAACTTTTTACTTAACAGATATAATTGAAGAAATGGAAAACACGCGCGCGTGCTGTGTGCAGTAATAAAGCACGCGGGGGTTGGCAGAACAGGAGAGAAGTGTTAGGAGAAACACGAAACGCAGCGGAGTACTTCTCGACACTTCTCGAGTGTTCTGCCAATCCCCAAGTGCTTTATACTGCACACAGCACAGCAGGCAAGTTTTTTTATTTCTTTAATAAAATACAAATTATGAATGACGAAACTGAAATTGCGCGAGCGTGCTTTGTGCTCTCATAAAGCACGCGCTCCAAACAATCATAACATGAGATTTATAACAGTTATTTTATAAAAGGAATTATAAAATAACTGTTATAAATCCCGCGCTCTGATTGGTTGGATGCGCGTGCTTTATGAGAGCACACAGCACGCGCGTGTCTTATTAATTTTGTCATCCCTGTAATTCTACTAAAGAAATAAAAAAATTGCTTGCTGTGCCGTGTGGAGTTATAAAGCACTGGGGGATTGGCAGAACACTCGAGAAGTGTTGAGAAGCACTCTGCTGCGCGTCGAGCTTCTCTTAACACTTCTCTCGTGTTTTGCAAATCCCCCAGTGCTTTATAACTCCACACGGCACAGCACGCGTGCGCGTTTTCTATTTCTTCAATCAAATGATCGAGCCCTGTAAATATTTCTGCTCATTTATTCTTTAGCGAAGGAACATGATTTGTTTAGTTATGCCATTTATGTGGGGAAAAAAAGGAAATTGCGGTAGGAAAAAAAAAAAAACAACAAACAAATAGTATGTGTCCTTTCCATCATCATGTTTCGTAAAAGGCGGCCTTCTGATAGAGCTAATCAACTGTTCTGGCTTTTTCGTGAGCGTAAATTCGATGTGTTATATTAATATTTCCCTCCATTATTAACTATATTCTAGAAGACGCGTGTACCATTTTCCCGCTATCTTTTAGCATTAGCAACCCAATTGTAAACGAATGGATCGCCTTTAAAGATATCACCTCTGATAAATGCTAAAACCTATTTATATTGTAACATAGTAAGCGTTTCCTACTGTTGCTCACTAACTCCAACGAAGGACGTCCGAAACGTCACTGCTTTTCACGGTGATCCAACTTATCTACAAGTTTCTACTGTTTTATTCAGAAACACCGACGCAGTCCACTCTAGTTGTCACCTACTGTTGTTTGGGTTTTCAACGGTATTTATCTGAATATATCTTAATCACCACATGCTGGGTACCAAAAACGTGTACTGATTGCTAATGAATATTAACACTTACTAATGAACTAAAATGACTATACGCTTTGTTGTAAGTGTTTTTCTGTTTATAAATGCATTTTGAGTGTACTTGTTATAAACTTAAGGGGACCTCGTCTGAACAAAACTAACACTACCTTGGCAACGTCCAGGACAGTCACAGGTGTAAGGCTGGTCAATGTTTTCAGGATGTGGCAAACAAACAATCTTTTCATTTCCACATGGATTGGAGGAGCATATTGTCTGAGAAAAAAATAGATAATTAAAATAAATATAGTTATTGTATAATCTGAACTATGAATGGTAAATGTTTTTACTCCATCTTCTTCATTGTTTTTTTTTCTTTTTTTTTTTTTTTTTTTTTTTTTTTTTTTTTTTTTTTTTTNTTTTTTTCATTTTTTTCTTTGGTATTAAATGTTCAAACCATAGGGAGAAACGTGTAGTAAAATGTATTCAAAAACCATTTAATAAATACGCATATGTGGGATTTTGACTCTATATAATATACGCAGCAATGGATAATTTTGCACCTGAAATTGAAAGCACGATATTTTTTTTATGATAGTCATGGCGGACTAACCACGTCTCTAACCATCGTTCATTTTTTTCCTTTTAAAAAAATAGCAACACTAATGTCCAACAAAGAAAAAACGTCCCCAGAATATGTCCCCATAGTAATCATGTTATTTTTAAGTCACTAAGTGAATGCATTAATTCCAACAGAGGCAAAATGAAGAAGATCTCTCGGAGTTTACTCACCTCCATTCGCATGAAGAAGAACTTCTCTTTCTTAGTAAGGAAATTCCGATAGTCTGTTCCTCCATAGTTCAGTAGTTCACACAGTACTTTTCCAGTAGTGTTTGCCTCGGATCCAAAATTTACTGACAAACATAATTTGTTCATCACACAGAAACTTGCACATTCTATGTCGCTGTCAACCTTGAGTGCCGAGATAAGCGTGCCTGCCTTTGTCAAAACCGACCCGTTGATTCTTTTATGAAAGTTGCCATACGTAAATGGCCCTTGTTTGCCCACACGTAAGGAAACATCCACCGTACAAGTCGTAATCTCGAACAGGACGAAAAGGAAATAGAAGAGTTGGAGTACTTGAATTAGTGCTGTTGCTTCCATCACGACAGCTGATGTGAAAATGATGTTTAAGTTATGTCGTATGGAAAAAGTAAGCATCCTTCTAATTCTTAGGTTGATTAACGAAGTATTGTTTTTCTCTTTCGGCAAAATAATTCATCTGTCCCCATTTTCCATTAGATGACAGTTTTAAATTGCGAGATAATAAATAATTTATGTAATTATAGTCATATATATGTATATGTTTAAATGTTTAAACAACTTCAATACTTAATAACTTCCAATTAAAGTATACTGTACTTTGGAGTTAAGGGTATAGAAAATGAAATGCAAGCTTTAACGTTTCCACTATTGTTTGATTGAACTAAATTATTGTAAATGTAAGTTCTATTTATATTTTTTGACCCGCATTTGTCACTTATATGACCAACTCCACTGTCAATCACAAATTACTTCATGATCAAGGATGCTATTACTGTTAGTACCTGTAGTCATAACTTAGTCTTAACCAATGTTTGCATTGCATAGAAAAATTACATATGACACTTCTATTCGTTAAGCATTTATTTTCGCACAATTCGTGTCACAATTGACTATAGAATCAAAGTTTACAACTGCAAAAGCAATAAACTACTACACTGCCTTTAAGGCGATTTCATATTCGAAGATGTTGATAGAAGAAGGGTTAGGCCCAGTTCTAATCATTTAGTTCGTTTACTTAATAACTGCTTTTCTACTGATATCAATGACCATAGTTCTAAATCCAGTTCTAATTCCATCCATCCATAATCAATTCATCAATCCATCCATCCATCCCTCCATCCCTCCATCC